GTTTTCAAACAATTATGAATTTGCATCGTTAGCTAAAACAGGAAAAAAAAATCAGAAAAATATGCTTCCTTCCATGCCTCTGCACCTTTTTCTATCTATAAATCACTTAAAATAAAACTAATTTATTTAAGTAAATAAAAATAATCATTTATTTACTTAAAATAAATCTAAATAAAAAGGAACACTAACCTGACATGAGTTTTAGGGCAAATCTAGACATTCAAAAATGCAGTTCAAGTTATATGACACACATATCTATTTTTTATTTATTTGATACCTCTATGATCTGGGGAGAAATGGAATAGAGGGGATCTACGGCTGAAACAATGTTTGATTTAGATAATCTTCTAACTAGCATTTCAAATCTTTTTTGTTTTTGCAGTGGTTAAAATGGAAACTTTTGGTAGAAAGAAGATTAAAAACAACACTTGTATTTGCCATTTATTAAAAGGACAGTGTTTCAGAAGCCTTCTAAATATTGGTAGATCAGTCTGAGCCTTGTGGTTTATTTGGGCTAAACTCCCGCCTGATATATCAATTATCTAAAAATTAAAATTAATTCTGAAATGTAAATAACAACATCACAATAGAATCAGATTTTTATAAATGAAATTGTTAAGCTATCAAATGGTGAAATTTAGAAACCTGGTGGCTTAAAGAAAGGGAGGGAAATTATTAGTGTAAATAACAACATCACAATAGAATCAGATTTTTATAAATGAAATTGTTAAGCTATCAAATGGTGAAATTTAGAAACCTGGAAGGCATTTTTTATGAGACACCTTTATAGGTCCAGTGTATTTCACAAAATAACCAATAATTTGGAAAAGTGTGACAAAAGCATACTTTTCTTTGGTTGACAAAGCAAAAAATTATGTATGCCTAGCTTCGATTTTCATATAAAACCTGAGATGTAAATTTAAATTGTACTGTTGTTTTAGAAACTAGGAATCTATCTTATGTGTAATGCCCTTTGAATATCTTAGACAAGGGTAACCTGTGATGAAATCCTACTTACATTTTTTTCATGCCAATTCTCTCATTTTTAAATGTGTTCTTGTCAGCAACATAGATAATTTTCACCCAAATCATTATTTTAGCCATATTACTCAATTATATGAGCATTATTCAAATGTAAAATCTTTTAAGATTTATTCGTTGAAGTATTTTTCAAAGTTTAATGTTAAGATGAGCATAAGAAGGTAGAAAAAGGTATCTACAGGAAATATTGTCTTTCTCAAAAGTAGCCATGTGGATCATATTACTTTTATCTTCAATACTTATATGATTTAGTTTATTCTTTGTTTCTCCTCAGAGAATTTATTTCTTGTCCTACTATGTGGCTTCAAGGGGTCTAATAAAAAGTTCTGTGAATTAAAAGCAGGTGGGAATGCAGGGGAAGGTCTCTGAAAATCTCTGGGCTGGATCCTTTCAGGTGAATAAATAATTTCCAGTAGAGAGGGCTGTATAATCATTTTAGTAAATTAATTTCCCCTCCCCACAATACATTCTTGGTTTGGCTAGGTATATCTGTCTTTGCAGCCAACAACTCAGGAGGACTGGACTGAGTATCTACCGTCAAAATTGATGCAGTAATATTGAAGTTAGCTAATTTCTGTCCTGGTATGTTTGGTTATTAATGTGAATTTTCCTTCCACTTGCATATCTGAAATATAAAACGTCTATGAGAAGCATTTGACTCACTCATTTTTCTTAGAGGCATAAAAGCTATATATAATGTTTTTCTATGTGTACACACTTCACCTTTGAAGAAACTCTCATGGGGGTTGTGGATGTGAGTGTTGGTCCTCGTTCCCAATCCATATCTACATATATCGATAGAATAAAACTCTAGGTGGATTGGCACCGAAGCATGATAAATGTGATTCAAAGAGGCATAAAATCAACAACACTGCTAATCCATCCTAAACATTTATGGAGATACCACACAATGTTCTAATGACTGTTTTCTAGGTGGAATGTCATCATATTTGATTTTTCCTATGAAAAGCTCACTTTCAGAAAAACATGGCCTGAGCAATCACTTCTAACATGAGCCTTTTCCCCATTGCTGAGAGGTAATAGTGAGCATTACTAAGGGTAATTGAGTGTGATAGGAGTAGCCATAGAAAAACTACAAAGGTTGAAATTAGGGAAAGGAAAGATTAAGATGATTGCATATTCCCAAAGGGATAACTCTCTGACTCTTTGAAAAAGGTTAGGGCAGCAAGATTCTAAAGAACGTGCACCGGTCAAGCAGCTATGAAGTACTGCATTGATAACAGAGAGACAAAGCAATTTCAAGCAAGCAAGCTTTCCTGAAAAGATATGGGTCACAGTTGTAGCTAATAAGTTACTTTTTGAAGTTGTGAAGTAATGCTTTTTCCTAAAAATAAAGAAATCAAAATAAACAATTTATATGACCACTGATTTGAATATCCCTTAGGAGATATTTTTTTTTCCAGAGGACTTTAAGAGAAACTGAAAATTTGGAGAGCCTCTAGCTGCATCTTTTTTGGCCATCTCGGCAGGCAGGGAAGAAGTCACAGAAAGCTAGACACTTACCATTTCTTGTGGGCTGGAAAGCTGAAACACTCTTTGACTTGGGAGTTCCAACTCTCAGTGGTTGCTCCTTCTATAGATAAGACATTCTCTGCTTTGGGAGATGATTAACTATGGACTGATTAAGCTCCAAAAATGAAATATCCAACCACTTCCCATGCTATCTTTGTAGGTGGAATACTATCAGGCTCACCCAACATTTGAAATGGTGGAGTGATGCGAAGACAATGAATATGGCTAGAAGTGATAAGTACATGATGGTAGAAAGGACTAGCGGAAATGCAATCAATTAACAAAAATCTGTAGGTAGATCTCAACGAAGGCTAAGGCATCCACTCTTATCAGCGTGTTTTTTTCTCTGTAAGGTAAATGTAATTTTGTACATCTCCTTCTGCATAATGTACTCACTCATCTGTTAAAATCTGCATTTATCTTTGCTCAGCTTTATCAACAGCTAGAATGCCTTGGCCAAGTGAAGTGATTCCTGCAACAAAAGCGGGATGCCAGTTGTAGGTCAGGATGAGATCCAATACTGTATACTGTCAAACATGAAATGGTCCAATGTTCTTGAAGTTATGAAACTGCTACAGTCAGGACTTGCTCTGGATGCAACTGCCCAAGTTCAGCGACAGAAAATCAGAATCAGAAGAAAGACTCCACATCTTGAGCCCAGAAACATGGCAAGAAGTCTTAACGGGGCTGATGTACATTTTTGAAATAATGAAGTTCTGTCACTATTAGATAATGGAGGGCTTCATCATCTACCCGAGTAGATACTCTAATTGCTTCCTCAAAATTCTCAGATGTTTACAGAGCAAAACAGTCATCTCACTTCATTTTGAAAGGTTAGGATCAAAGGCCTTGACCTGTGGAATCACCAATGAATCAAGCCCCATGTGGAAGAAAGACAGTGTGGGTGGTGAGCTTTCGTTAACAGGGAGATGACTGGGGGAAAGGTGCTGCATCAGGGATCCCCACAGTGGATGAGCCACCTATCAGAATCTCTGCTGTTATTTAAAACATCATATTTCATAATTTAATTTTATATTTGAAGTGCAACAACAAAAAATTTAGTGAATTTATGCTGTGAACCACAGAAAGCAAAAGTTCTATAAAATCTTTACTGATGGAAGGATTGAATCAGAATCTTTGAACAAATTAACATTTGCTTATAAGAAGTTGAGAATCATTGGGCCACAGCATTTTGCTGGAGGGTTGTTATATGGTCAAGGATACTTTTGTCATTGAATTCCTCATTTTGCTGTTTAAAAAAATAAATGTTGGCTGCTCATTTTGCATTAAACCAAAGATTGATACCCAGGACACATATCAACTGTTTAATCCAAGAAAATATTTAAAATATACCTTATTTCCTTCGCACATGAAAGTGTGCCACACATGAGCATATAAGGATGTAACGAATTCTAAAGAAAATTTTAAAGACAATCGGGTGAATAAAGTATCATTTACATGTACATAGTGGACAGATTCTATCTATTGTAGTAAGAACTAAATCCACTGATATTAATGTAAACTTGCAAATAAGCAGAGGTCAATTTTTCCCCCCAAAATGATTATTCAAGTATCATTTACATGTACATAGTGGACAGATTCTATCTATTGTAGTAAGAACTAAATCCACCGATATTAATGTAAACTTGCAAATAAGCAGAGGTCAATTTTTCCCCCCAAAATGATTATTCCATTTCTGGTGTCACCACTTCCTATAGTGTTTTCATTATATGATACATGAAGTCAAAAACTTATATAATTAGACAGTCAGAAATTATTAATGCAAGGCAGAAGTCCTACTGGGAATCCAGGGGAATCCAGTGTACAGTCATAAAAGAGCAATTTACTTAATTATCCCTTGGGAAGCAACTACACTTCTGGTGAGCAGTTTTATTGGGATTGATTAATTTGATATAATACTCTTCATGCTAAAAGGCTGTCTGACATGTAACTGTGTATGAGTTCATGTTCCCAATTTACTTAATTATCCCTTGGGAAGCAACTACACTTCTGGTGAGCAGTTTTATTGGGATTAATTAATTTGATATAATACTCTTCATGCTAAAAGGCTGTCTGACATGTAACTGTGTATGAGTTCATGTTCCCGAATGCAGAAAGGATGTAGATAGTCACACTAAAAAATGTCAAAAAAATGAGTGAAATAGAGGAAGGCCCAACATTTATCTCAGCATTGCAGGACAGACAAATATTCTGACAATTGTGCTGTCTTGGGACATTAAGAAGAGAATATTACATTAAAGGGTTGACATTTGCAAGAGTTTGAACACTGGGTGTTTACTTTCTTTCTTCTGGATGAGGATACCAATTGCACAGTAATACCTTTTGGGTCTTTATTTCTTCAGAACATGAGAACAAAAAATGAAGTAGATGACAATGAGAAGAGAAAAAAAATTCCATACAGGATATGCTGTGTCACTAGTGATTAAATCAGAAACAATTAGAAACTTTATTTGTCTGTGTCAATAATGTGTACCATTTATAAGGAACAGCACAATTAGTGCACTTCCCCCATAAAGCTGTGCACAATACACACAAAATAAAATAATCAAACAAATAAAATGAAAGAATTTTACACAACTATAATAATTAATAACAACTCTGAACAATCAGAATCATATTCTCCCTATAGCATAAAAATTTAAAAAGCAAATAAACCAACGAGCTTTGAAATTGAAATTTACCAACCATAAGAATTTCATAAAGTCCTCTGTGAAAATTCGCTATGGGATTATTGACATTCTGAATATGGCTAAAAATGAGTGCAGAATCTTTCTAATGTTTAAACAACTTATATCCCTTAACTATATTTACTTGGTGTTTCTAGGCTAGCTTTACATTTAGTAAATCTCCAAGGGGGAGAAAATAATGGGTTAGAATGTACCCTCAAAGGAGCTAGGTCACTAGTGTTGGTGCCAGGTCAGGGATGGGTCTCTGAGAGAGAGGAGGAATCGTAAGGTGTGGGTCAGAGAAAAGTACAGTTTCAGCAAAAATAAAAACGGGATGAACTGGGCCTTCTCAGTGATCTGGATCAACAACATGATTGCCTTTCTTGGTTTAAAATGGGGAGATGTACATATCTGCAAGTTGGCTGAGAATAAAGAGGATGCTTTTCCAAACCTATGCTTTACACTCTTAGTTAAAGAAAATCCTGGATATTTGGACAATTGTATTTGTAAAGGTTTAATGTGTTTATGTTAAAAGTGTTTCACGACTGTGTTTTTCCTTGCAGGATAAAACTGTTTCCATATGGCTGTTAACTTTTACTCACGGAAATAGCAATCACATTAACTCCAACCTCCCTGAGGGCAGGGATCTGGGCTGTCTTGGTCATGGTTTAGTCACCAGGAAGTAGCATACTACCTAGCATATTGAGTGGGCAACCAGCATTTAATTTATTCATTCAATCACAAAATGTTTATTAAATGATGAATGACATGATATCTAAGGGGAAGAAGAGAAAATAAGTCTCAACAGCTTTTATTTCTTAAATATCTCTGAATCAATACAGAGGGCCGGGGATGTTTCCAGCCTGGGATTCTTTACAGATGAAGTTTCTGAGAGGTGACCAAAGTCATTCCATTTTTCCTCATTAGTAGACTCACTGCTTTGGAATGTTGGGTTTACCCACGTTCTTTGGTATTTTGAAAGAGAAAGAGCCATTCCTTTTAAAGGGTTAAAAACCTCCCAGTGCAGTCCTACTGGGAGTCACTAATCTCATTGAATCACCTTCTGTTTAGTCATAAGTAGAGGAGACTTACTTTTAAAGGCCCACCGGTCACCCTGGCTTCTTCCCTATTCAGGAACTACTAATATAATCAGAGGGGCCTGCACTGAATGGTGAAAGAAACAGGGCTCAAAATAGCCTTCTACATAAAAAAATAAAGTGAACAAACCAGCACTATCTACCATCTGTGCCAGACAGAGCAGATGTGAAATAAATACTTTGGGGAAAGGGGTGTTATGGGAATGGCGGTTCTGAAAGCCCAGGCACATCTAGCACCTCCACTTCTGTACAACGCCTTTCTCCCTGGCCTTCCTGAATTAGTGAATGATTCTTAGAGGCCTCTGATGTATTCCATATGGCTAATTTTCCATGAAGATCTTCATAGTTTGCCTGCTATCCTTTTAACAACTTTAACTTCACCTCATATGACAGTTATTGCTTCTTAGAAAAGAATGTGCAGATCCATGAACAATAAGCCATTTTCTCTTTTTATCCCTAGTAATAATCAAATTCAATAACAACACAAAAGTAACAACTCAGGCGAAAAGAAAACTCACTTATGTCTTCAATGTCCAATCAACGTTGCCGAATGGGAGAACAGTATTTGCTATACTCTACTATCTACAGATACGCTTTGTTTTATTGATTTTTCATTCATGCACTGTGTAACAGGCATCACAACAACATTCCCAAACAGGCACATGAGGAAGGAGCACATGTTCAGTCATGACTGGAACAGGATTGTGCAAGCCATGGATGCCTTCGAAAATAAAACTGACGGACAATCCCAGGCAACGGCAACATGGGACTGGGACACATTGATGCAAATGGAAAAGGATGATGTGCTTTTTGAATGGGGTTGTTCTTCCTGTTTGTAGGGGATGGGAAGGTGGGCAGGAGAAGGAGGGTTGGGACAGGGGGGTCAGCTGGGCTGGAATGCTAGAAGAAGGGCCTTGCTAATCACAGTCTAGAGCTGAAGAGATAAGAAATAAAAGATTGTGCATGTTCCCGGGAATCTAGGCACATTATCCCTGTACCTGTTGAACAAGAGTGCCAGGCATCGCATCCCTAAATATCAGGCTATATCTAGAACTGTCACTTTTCCTGGTTTCATTCCAGCTCCCGCGCTTCTTCTTGGAGGCAGCTTCACCTCTGCTCATGTTCCAGAGACAAGCATGAAATGTGGTAATATGGTGAAGACATGCTTCTTTCTTCTTTCATGCCCAGATCGTTTCTTAACCCAAAATAATTTTTAAAGTATTTGGGGGAGGTGAAGAGAATCTTCATGATTTAAATTTTCACCAAAAACCCATTTCCATTTGGATGGGTCATCACCTCCCACAGAGAGAAGCAAAAACCCTGACCCTCTCGACAGAACAAAATAAAACAAAAAATAAAAGCCAAACATTAACCACCACCCTGACCTCACTGAAAACAAAATCAAAAACAAGGAAACAAATCAAAACCTTAATGATATATGAACCTGGAGAGAGTACAGCCCTTCTCGGCCAAGCTGCAAAAATGGCCCTGCCTCCATGCCTTGTTCAATGTGACGATGCCCCTGGGAATGGGAGGTGATGCTTTCTTACTTCGGCCCTAGTACATTATGCTCTTGAAGCTGGATTCCATCAGCAGGTGAGTGAACATGACAAATGCCAGTTTCCTCTGTTCGCTATACATAATTTTTTATGTATATATATGTATATATATATATATAAATTTACTATATCTGATTGTTCCTTTAGAAGCCTTCTATGTGGCAGTAGGCCTCCAGGGAGGAGAAGAAAATGTACAAGAGCCACAGGAGCACAAAGAGGCAGGATGTGAGGAGCTTGGCAGTCCGGGGCCCACCCAGCTCACCTCCGATTTCTGGCCTCCGCCGATACAGCAGCACCCCCACATTGATGAAAGCAAATATGGTGAAGAGAGTGACAGAGAAAGCTAGTGTGCCAGGGGACACTTTGAACTGTTCCCCATTGGCCGCGTGGTAGATGGCAGCGATGGACCAGGCCACACCGATTCCCAGGAAGACATTCACCGCGTTGCTGCCAGTGACGTTACCTATGGAGGCGTCTGCATACTGGTCCTGGGTGGCTGCCACTTTGCTGGCAAATGTGTCTGCAGAGGAAGAAGAAAAAGGCAATGACACTCAACCTTTTAATGTTTGTGGAGTGCTGGAAGCTTCAGCTGTGTATTGTAGAATCAAACCCTGGATATAAATCAAATGACCAAGAGTGAGCTGTGATGTTCCTTTGAATCAGAGTCCTGTGGTCAAAAGAACAGGATCCAAGTATTGGGAGTTAAGGGTGTAGTGCTGGCTGTGTTACTGACCGAGAAAGTGATCTTAGTCAAGTTCTTTACCCACGGATACCACAGTTCTTTGTAATACTGATCTTGCAGGTCAGCATTTTTTGGATTAATCCCAGCCCATCTCTGTTAGAATCAAGTGAGGTCTTTCTAAAGAGTGAATATTACAAGGCTCCATCCATTTGTGCAGGGTCATGATCACTGGGGCCCAGGAATCTATTTGAACAATATCCCAAAAGATTCTAGTTCATTATCAGTTGAAAATGGCTGCCGGAGGGTATTACTGAAAGATGCTGTATCAGCAGCTGTAGTTTACCCATGAGAAAGTTAAGGTGTCCAGAGAGATTTCCAAAGATTTGAGAGCAAGTCAACAGTGGAACTGAAAAGAATTGAATTGGGACAATAGCTGTTTGCCTAGAGCCTTATGAATAGGAAAGCAGATTCATGCACTTGATTGCACTGACTGTGATAACGATTCTAAGAGGTGAGGACTCTAGGCTTAGAGATGATACGTGATGGGCACTTGAGCTCCAGACTCCTCTCTTCAAAGTTAATGTTTTCTCATTGTGCTATCTTACCTTGCACTGTGCCATGGGGACCAATGACCATCCTCAAAGCTCTCAGTTCACCAATAATTCTAAATGCATCTTTTTCTGAAAATAGGAAGGTCATGGCCCACAAAAGCTGGTAGAACAACAGTAACTTAGGCTTCTTGATGAGCAGAACACAGGGGTTCAGAGCACATGTGAGCTAGAGGGTTTCAAACCCTGCCTTCACAACTGACCGTGTGACCCTGGGCAGAGTACTTAACCTCTCTAAGCCTCAATACTCTAATCTGGGAAATGGGAATAGTGATATCCACTTCAGACTGCTGTTGTTAAGTTGAAATATTACACGTAAAATGTTTTTTATGTTTCTTGGCAAAAAGTAAAGAGTAGGTCTTTTTGTCGTTTTAACGAAATGCAAACAGAGCAGGCTAGATTAGTTTAAAAGTTGGGGTGGGATCTGAAATAGCTCCCTTCACTAAACATGTAAACAAAACTTGCAAGATACTTGATTTATTGTCTATATGATGCCTAGTTACCGACATCAAAATCCTTTTAGCTACCATTGCAAAATACCTTGCACAGTAGGTTTATAGTAGATGCTAATAACTGTCAAATTGAACTCACATTTGCAAAGGCAGTAACAGCAAGTATTATAGTAAACAAAACTTGCAAGATACTTGATTTATTGTCTATATGATGCCTAGTTACCGACATCAAAGTCCTTTCAGCTGCCATTGCAAAATACCTTGCACAGTAGGTTTATAGTAGATGCTAATAACTATCAAATTGAACTCACATTTGCAAAGGCAGTAACAGCAAGTATTATAGGACTACAAGGTGTTGTGTCATCTGCTCTGGTCCTCCTGAGGTCCCTGGCACGCTCTGACCATGCATGTGGTTGTATGATACCCGGACTAGTTTCTCCCTTCTGTCGCTATTCTGTTGCCCCCATATTTCCTCAGTAAATCTACTCTGGGGATGATACATAAAGCATGTAAGTTTATATCAGCTCACAGTGTCATGTTTTACAATGGATAAGAGGTTATTTGGGCTGCCCAGAGGCTACTGCATCTGCAGTATCACATTCTTTCTGGGAGGTGGTCACCCTGAAGGCCTGTCTCATTGATTCTAACCTCTGTCTGTGAAGGAAAGCATGTTTGATTACTATTTCATAATTCAAGAAACCAAGGCAAACACTGCTTATTTTATGCCAGGCACTATGCTACGCAGGTTACATGTATATTCTTATCCAGCACTCTCACAAGCCTTATTATAATTTGGGCAACTGTGATGTTGGAACTGTATACCTCTTGGACAGGGTCTTTGTCAGCAGAATGAGAATTTTTAAACTAAGTCTTTTGATTTCAGAGCCCATTCTTTGTCTACACCACGCTGCCCCTCCCAAGAAGGCGAAAGTTTTCCTTTCCTGTCCGTTCATTTCGGGTTGCCCTATTCCTCCCACTCAGAAACTGAAGCAGGTTCTCACCAAATGCTCTTTCCTATGTCAGGGGAACAAAGCCTGAAGGCGGTAGAGGCAGTTTGCTAATCCCCCTCCTGGATTTGTGCTGCTTTGTGCCTTCATGGTCACACATTGCAGCCCAATCAGGATATCAAAGAGACTGGTCTGTAAAGGAAAGGGAGACAAATCTTAATGGTCTCTTGCACTTCATTATTAAGAGTTATTAGAAGCTGCTGCAGTAGCACCCTCAAAAAAAATGAAGTCATTTTGCTTTTTTTTTTTCAAGGACAGACAGTGGAGCAAGGAAAGTAAAGGAACAAGAGTCCAAGGCAGGAGAAAGCAGCTTACCTACAGCCCAACTGCTGTGGAGGAACACCTGAGATGTTATTCTGAGCCGAAATGGCTGCTAGCACCAGCTGGTGGTGAACAGATGGCCATGATAGGTGGGACAGTTGGGGGAGGGGAGTATTCCCTTCTTATGCTGCAGGGACAGGTGATCTGCTGCTGTTCCACAGCACACACCTGCTTACCTCCCCTGGCACGTGGTGCATGGCACATGGACTCCCTGGGTGCCCCATCTCCACTCAGAAACCCTGGGCTTTCTGGATGGCACTTCTGCTGCTGTACCAGAAGGGAAGGATTCATAAAACCATAGATTCCTGGGTCTGGGGACTCTGAACACCCAAACCAGTCCTTTTGGTTGAAGTGGAGGACATACCTGGGTCTGCAGCAGTTTCCTCTCCCTCAAGCCACTTTTTAAATAGCCTATTAATGTGAATATTACATGATAATTCTGATTGTAGTAATAGGTTCCTGTTTTTAAATACCTTTCTCTGGATTTTCTAAAAATTAGTAGCCAAAGTGTCTAGCTCATCACATAAGTGAAACATGTTTGTGGCCTCTTTCTGTCTGGTAGGTTTTATTTACCTTGGTTATAAATCAGGCTTTTGGTCTATATTTTCAGTTCCAAAGCTACGTAAGAAAAATGGTTTAAGGACACATGCAATTCCAAACCATTAACCTTTGCCCCAACAGAGATAACTCTGTTTTCCAAATGGAGTGCAACAGATTGTCCCCAAATTACTTTCGATTGCTGCCTTACTGCTTAGTGCACAGAGCAACGCATCACATACCATATGTTAGGTGCTGCCAAGCCGTACCCTGATCACTACGTCTGCACCTGCTTCTGGCTGAACAAGGCAAATATCATTCCCCAAAGTAAAATCCGAGAAATAACTACTGCCTTTGTCTCAAGGGGAATGTAATCATATTCAGAGCTTGGTCTATTGAATAAAAATATATATAAATCAGATTTCCAATGTGATTGGCATAAATTAAGATATGTTGACAATAATATATATGTGTTTTCCTACATATTTACCTCAGGCCCAGGTTTCTAAAAGGATTTTTGCTATTTACTCCCAGCCTGAATTCTGATAAATTTTACATTAGTTGTACAGTTTTACTCATTTGGTTCTGTCTCCTTGGTACATGTGAATATACCTTTAAGAGGGCAGATTTGTTTGGGAAGCAGTACGGCTGGAATTGAACCACACATCATCAAGTCAGGACATAACTGTTCTCTGCAGACCTGCCTCAAGTTCACTGTACGTAATAACCCTGGCCAAGTCATTTGGTCAATATGCAAGAATAGTCCAACACCCTTTCCTCCAGAAATTATTTTTTGCCTGCATTACTCAAACTTTATAGCTACATATAGACCAAGCCTTAAATATCTCTTCTGTAAAAGGGGCCATTCTTCAAATTGTGTAGGTCAGACATAGGGTTGACGTATTATCTAGAGCAAGGGTTTCACTCCAGATAGTTCATCTTATTCTTGACTCTTAACACGCTGAGTGGGCCAGCTGTTCAGCTCTCAAGTGATTTGTGCTCAGGAACTGACAGTGGTGGTGATTTTTTAACTGGAGTCCGGCCTGGTTATGGAGGTCCAGTTGCTTTCCCCCAGCATGTATGAATTGCTGCCAATTAAAGAGGCAGGCAGGCTGTGCGGAGCTTGCTGGCACAGGAGTGGAAGAGCCTCCCCAAAGAGAAACTCTTGGCTCTTCCGACTATCTCTTGTTTTGGGGACAGTCACTTCACTCTTTTAGGCTTTGGTTGTCTCATACAATAATGAAGAATTTAGATTAGAATATCTAAGACTCTCTCTAACTTTATTGTTTGGGTGGTGCACAGAATACACCAAAACACTAAATTCTTTTTTTTTTTTCCCTTTTTGTCTTTTTTCATGACCGGCAACGGATTGCAACCCTCAGTGTTGCGCCCGTACCGGACTGG